AGTTTTCCAAGAAAATTAGGGAAGTTATAATTGGGAGGAGGGGCAGTAAGCAGTCTTCTTAGAGCTCCCTGCTCCTTCTCTTAAATAACCTCAGAAGTCAGGAGCTGTTTATAGCTGAGTCATTTTAAGATACAAAGGGAAACAGTGATTGAACATTCTTGCCTAACATAAATCCATCCTTGCATCCAAGACAACCTGTTTCTTCTAACACACAACATGTGGACTCCGCCACACATCATACCTATCACAATTAACCTGAAATGTTAACAAATGAGTTATTCTAATTTAAAAGTCATCATTGAACTGACTGTTTAAATATCGACACTCCCACATTCTTAGGAGTGGAGCCTGTCATCCCTTCTAACGTCTTCAGGGAAAAAGGGCATGGCAGAAAAGGCACACAGTTGGATTAAGACAAATCTAGGTTTGAATCTGACTCTGGTCACTCCTTAGCTGTTTAACACTGGCCAAATCCATGTAACCTCGTTAAGTCTCAACTTCTGCTTCAGTAAAATAGGTACAAAACACCACTTATCCCAAAAGATTGTGGGGAGGATGAAAGGAGACAGGTAATGTGAAGTGCTCAATATCTAAGTATTGCCAGTAAACATTAGTTACATTCCCCAAAGAAGTGTTGAGTTGAAAACTCTGGAGAATCCTTCATTATATGAAATAAGAAAACACATCCTGGAGGCCTCCTTTATAAGCCTCCAGACACTTATTTTTCATACCGTCTTACTTGAATCTGAAGATAATCCTTTAAGTATTTTCCCCATTTCCCTGTTTTAAAGAGGTTAAATAACTAAGCAGGTCACAGAAGTGGTGAGTCCAATTTGAACCCAGATCTTTTGGACTCCAAACACTAGGTGTGCTCTGTCTACTGCACGCCTTACACGGCTACTTTTAAAAACACATCATGCTCTCAAACAGTGGTTTCAACTGGAAAGAAGTTCAAATCAACTGAAAAGAAGTTCAAATTGAGCATAGTTTTATAAACACAATAAATTCCAAAGTGAACACTGATTTTCAGATCCTAACCAAGCCTACCATCATAGCTAAGCTTTACTACCTAAAGGACAATTAATCATTTCAAGAACAGTTATCCTTATAGAGAAACCATTGTTTACAAAGTCCAGGTCATCAAAGGTAACCCACAGTATGGGCCATCCACGCATACACACCCCTTAATAGGATCCTCAGCTCGAATCAACAACCAAGCCTACCACTGAAACCTCTCCAAGAGACCTTTGGTGGCACTTGATTCATTCAGGGATTGAGTACCTGCTGTATAAATAGCACTACTTACAGTAAATCCTTGTAAAAGTCCATGACAAACCTATCACGTAATAAATTTCACATTTCGTTTGTACTCAAGATTAAGGCCCTAAGTAGTATACAACCTTTAATTCTTATCTCATCTAAAAATAATTTCTCTTTAGCATTGTACAAATGGTAGCTCCTCCTAAACTATTATTTCCAGTCAGTTGACCAAAGTTGTGAATTATTAATAAAAACTTTTAGCTGAAAACCTAAGGTCTAATTCTTCAGTATTTCACAAGACAAGGATATAGGAGTACTTTCTATAACCCCATATTACAACATAACTGTATTCCAAAAATTAAACTCTAACAGAGGTATGCCCTAAGCTTACAAAGTAGGTAAGGCTTTCTCTCCAAAAACACAACTATGCCTAGGCATATAAAATTCTGCACGTTACTTAAAGTATCCCATTAAAGTTCATCAATAGCTCCCCTCAATTTATAGGGAACTCACCAACCCAGACAAAGACCTCCTATTTAGGAAGTTATATACCATTTTAAGAGACTTTTCTCCTAGTTTTTAAATAGCATGGTCTCTTGAGGAATTTACATTTATCAATTTATAAAATTTCATTTACCCATAAGTTTACATTAAAAGGACACTTCTTCCAAATCCTTTAAACTCTTGCAATACTAAAAACAACTCTGGTGTCCTTTGTCCATTAATATTAAGAGTGCTCACAGATGTGTGGCCCTGAACTAGGGGTGCCAAGAAGAGAATTCCAAGATAGTGTCAAAGCCAGTGACCTTGAGAAGTTTACAACCTGGTTATACAGTCTGTTCTATTTAAAACAAACAAACAAAAAAACCCAACAATTTACTGATCATTTTGAACAAAAACAGGTATGATCTTTAAGCTGAAACCTCTAAGTGGATAGGAAAAGAATGCTGTAGAAAAAAGGACCAGAAAACAGATTCAAAGAAATTAAAGAAGGAAAAACATGACCAAAGGACTAAATTTTCTAAGTAACATATACCCAAGAACATGTTTGATTTACCAGATAATACTTAGCTTGAAAATCTATAGCCGGGGGCCGGCCCCATGGCGGAGTGGTTAAGTTCACCAGCTCTGCTTTGGTTTCGCCGGTTTGAATCCTGGGCACAGACATGGCACCACTCATTAGGCCATGGTGAGGCGGCATCCCACATGCCACAACTAGAAGGACCCACAACTAAAAATACACAACTATGTACGGGGGGCTTCAGGAGAAAAAGGAAAAACAAAATCTTTAGGAAAAAAAAAAAGAAAGAAAGAAAATCTATAGCCAATTCCACAAGTTAAGTCAATTTGAGAATTGGGAATAAAAAACACTGAATTAGATGTAATTACTAAACTCAACAGAATCAATAATACAAAAACAACATAACTTCTATAAAGATTTTACCTAAAAAAAGTTATTGCAAACTATTAGGATAGCAGCTGGGGAACAAAGCAATACATGGCTGGTGTGCTATACACCCCCATTACCATTCCAGTGGCAGACATCACTAATCAATCACACCATGCTTGCCCCACTGAACCTCATAATTCCAACATAACCTTCCAGCAGAAACAGGGTGGGCATTATAACTGAAACTATTTGTTGTCCTTGAAAGCTATTTTCTGTTCAAGTCACCTAAATAAAGCACCAAAACTCAACGTATTTAATGTTCAACGAATTTATAATAAATTTCATTTACTTTGAGTTGCTCTCCAAAACACAAAATCCTCTCTTTTTTTTGGTAAGGAAGATTGGCCCTGAGCTAACATCTGTTGGCAATCTTCCTCTTTTTGCTTGAGGAAGATTGTTGCTGAGCGAACATCTGTGCCAGTTTCCTCTATTGTGTATGTGGATGCCACTGCAGCGTGGCTTGATGAGAGGTGTGTAGGTCCGTGCCTGAGATCTGAACTCACAAACTCCAGGCTGGCAAACCGGAGCGCACAAACTTAACCACTATGCCACTGGGCCGGCCCCACAAAATCCTCTTTAAAACTTTAAATTTTTCTATTAAAGAGAATAAAATATGGGTAATATAATCTTAACTAGGAAAAGATATTCTTTCTAAAAAGTGTAAACGTAATAAACTCTTTTCTAGAAAACTGTAACTATATTTTTGGCACCCTTCATTTTTGACCCAATTTGAATTTAAAAAAACAGACAAAATTACTTTTTATGAGTATCAATAAATACCAGACATGCTATGTCATTTAGGGATAAAAAGTAGAAAGTTAAAAAAAAATTACAATATATATCTGTACATCAAGAGAAAGAAGCACAAACTCTCCCCTTGCAGTTTAAAAGAAATACAGGTTAACAAAACTCTAAAGAGAACATATGCGACCATTTAAGACTTCCGTCACTTCCTTCCAAAAAGAATTTAAGGCAGAACAGACTCCAGAAGTGAGATGATAAAAAGAGATAGAAAAACAGATCTCTGGGACTCTAAGATCACATTACCAATGGGTGATGTTTAGCATAAAGTAAACTTACAGAAAGGAGCGAAAACCTGGATTCAGGAAGTTGTAAGAGCACTGTGGGATAAGTGAGGAATAATTATTTCCTAACTCCTCAAGCCTAGCAAAGAAAAGTACGAAATATTCTACAAAGAAACCAGGAAGCTCCAGCTTCTTAGTCTTAATAGGAAGATTCAAGTATTATATAAACATAGGCAAGGCTAACAGATGACAACACAATGTCAGAAATACAGATACCATAAAAGGGGCCATTTCCCCACGCCAACTCCAACCTCAGTTGGTACTAAAACTAAAAACAATAAATTGTTTTGAGAAAGTATCTGTTAATGTCCATTACCAGAAACTAAGTATATCTTAGAATACTCTTTCAGTAAAGTTCTTTCAGCAGAAGCTAAGTAGGCACGACCTCAAATTATATACATCTTACACATTGTAGGGCTCCCTATGTATATCTACGCAGACCTTTCCTCCATTATTTTAAGGATTAGACAGTTTGAAAAGCTTCTGCATGGGTTTTACTCTTAAAGTATGAAACTATAATAAACATTCCTGCCCAGGACCTTTCTTCTCCCTAAAACTGGAGTGAAACATGAGCCACCTGTAAAGACTTGAGATATTCCTACAGTGTGCATAAAACCTTTAAACCTACATTTGCATCCAATTGTCAGTTGGTGCTTTTTCATTTGGACAGGCCAATCATTCAGAGGAAAATGAATTTAAAAATTGCCTAAGTTGTTAAAAAACATACGACATTAAAAAAAAAAAAAGACCAACTTTGCTCCATAAGACAAACTATTTTGAGTAAACGAACACGACACCAGGAAAGAAGGGTTAATATCTGGGCACTTACTGCTGGAAAGAGCTTTAGGGGCAAAGAGAATGGCTCATCTAGCTTATATTTACGGGACACCCTTTTGCTGAGCGTCTTTAATCTTGCTGCATGTACTGAATAGTAAACAAAGCACTTATTACACAGAACCTATTTGATAAATGGGGCAGGAAATCTACTGATTTATCAAGGGGTCCTTCAGAGCGCCAACTAAGGAAAGCCACGGTTTTCCTACCACTAAAAGGAGGGAAGGGTGAGACAGGTCAGGATCCCATCTTCATCCTTTTCCCCCGTCTAGGTAAACAAGCGTCCCAAACGCGCACAGCCCAGACCCAGGCTCCGGCCCTTCGTGGTACGTAACCAACGGCGACGGCTGGAACCCAGACCAGCTTCCTACCTCCTGGATGCGCTTCCTGGCCCGCTGAAGCACTTCTTCGTAGCCCTTCTGCCGCAGCTCGCTAAGGCTTTCGTAATACTCCTCGGGGTCGTCGGTCTCGGTGAAGAGTACCTGGGAGAGGATCTTCCAGCCGCAGGTGTCCAGGCCGTGGCCCAGGTAGACCTGGAGCTGGTAACACAGTGTGTCGATCTCCTGCTCGCTCATCTCTGGGGCGCCCCCGAACAGCACGGTCCACATGCCCGAGGGCTCCTCGGGGAACAAGGGCAGGCACGGCTCCAGCTGCGAGTTCACGGAGCACAGCTGCTGGTGCACGGCGCGCAGGTCCTGGAAGGAGAAGAGCCCGGCCCAGCTGCACTCCTCGGCCGGGGACTCCAGCTCGGCGGCGGGCGGCGGCTGCTCCGCGTTCGAGAGCGCCAGAGACGCCGGGGCCGCCTCGTCCTCCCTCACCATCTCCAGCACCTCGATCTCCTCGGAGACCGCCCCGCAGGCGCTCACCACCCGCACGGAGGACGCCGGGGCCTCCCTGGGCGCCGGCGGGGCTGCGGCAGCGGCGGCCCCGGCTCCATCTCTGCCGTCGGATGCCCTCCGGATCGGGCTGGACCGGGCCCGCACTGGGCTCCTGAGTGGGCTCTCCGCCCCTCTGCCGGCCGGACTTCGCAGCAGCGGGTCCCCCCGAAGGCTGCGCGCGCTCCGCGGAGAGCCGCCCTCCGCCCAGGCCGGGCTCCTCCGGGGCCCGGGGCTCCGGCCCAGAGGCGCAGAGCCAGCGGGCTCGGGCCGGCCCTTGCCCGCCGGGCTGCCCGGCCCGCGGGTCCCGTCGGACGCGGGCGCGCCGGGTTCGGGGCCCCCTCGCACCCCCGCCTGCTCCCGGGAGCCGCTCCTCTGCCTCTGGGCCGTCCGGTTGTGGCACGTTATGGCAAACTTGCCCTCGATCTCGTTCCAGGCCACGATGAAGACGAACTTGTGCTTCTCGCGCTCGTCGAACACATGGGGCCGCACGGCCACCCAGTCCGACTCGAGCGTCTCCTCGAGCGCGAACGACATGGTGGCTCCGGGGCAGGCCGCGGGGGAGGCGCCGCCGGCCCTGCCCGCCGAGGACTCACCGGCTGCTGCGCCGCGCCCCCCGCTCACCCGCGCCGGGCGCCTTCAGCCATCTTAGCGCGCCGGCCGGCTCCCTCGCTCGCTCGCTCGGCCCTCCGCACCCGGAGCCGCCGCGCTCCTTTGTGGCGCGGCTCGCGGGAGAGACAATACGCGTCCCCGGAGCAGGTAGTTCACATGGTCACGTGCGGTCGGATCTGTTTACAAGCCCGCGCTGCGGCAGCGCCTCGCGCCGCCCCGGCCGCCCCCCGCGCCAGGCCGCGGGGCTGCGTCTGCGGCGCCCTGGAGGGGAGGCGCGGGGTCGGCGGGCCGGGCGGCGGGCGGCGCCGGCGGCGTGTGTGTCCCCGCCACTCGCCTGGCCGACCTCCCCGCCCCTCGTTCTGCTCCTCTTCTCTGCCGCCCGGAGCCCGCCAGACGGACTGACGCGTCTCCTAAACTCTGCGCCTCAGCATCGCCACAATGTTGCCATTCGCCTGCTGACGTCGGCGGCTCCACGAGGGACGTAAACACGGGCACGTGCCGCACGCTGGTGACGCGGCGGCGGCGGCGGCGCGCGCGCGCGCGCCGGCCACGCCCCTCGGCTTCCCCACCCCACCCCCACCCCGCCGCCCTCCAGCGGCCGCGCGCCCGACTCTTTCCTTCCTTCCGCGCCGCCGTCGTCTCCCCGGGGCTGCACTCGGCGATCGCCGGCTGCCAGCTCCGAGGGCGGCGAGAGGGGCAGGTGTACCCTGTGGGACAGGTGGCCTGGGAACCCAAGGAAAGAGGAACAAAGGCGGAGGAACTGAGCCTTTTCGAACTCCAGTAAATCAAAGGTACCCTCAGATGTAAATTTGCCTCCATCCGCCGGGAGGAAGTCGGGATGGCTGACATATTCAGAAAGAAGTATTCTGTTAACACGAACTCCGTGCTCAAGTTCATTGATTTCCCCGAGGCTGTTGGATTCTCCCCTAACACCCTTGAGACGGTCTAAGGTATGAAAGGAAGGTGTCTGAAGACAACCCAGTAGAACACCAAAATAAAATTAAATGAAAATGCCGTCATGTCCTAATAGTATGAATGTTTACATTTCGGTTCATCAGCGCTTTGCTGCTTCAGTTTCATCATTGTGTACTGTCTGTGAACCTCATTTTGAGGTCACTGGCTTGAGCCCTTTTGAAGTTGTAGTCAATAGAGTTCTCAGAATGTACATACAAAATAAAAAATCAGGTAAATCTGAAGGATTCTGCTATTCATACTGGACTATGATGAAACACATTCTTAAAATTGCCTAGTAATCCCATAATGCAGTTTATATTATTGCCCTTCTATGTCCTGTTAATGTCCGGTTCATACTGCAGGTATTCTGCATCCGCAGTAAAGTACAATGGGAATTATTTCTTCTTTGACTTTTATCCATATTTCTAAAATATATGCAAAACCATATGGGTTAACCATGCATCGTCAGCTACATTTACTTCAGTAATGTCCTGACATCTGAATAAATAGGTAAAAGTTTTAACCCTGTCACTCAGCTGGACGTTTTAGACCTATAGATCTGCTTTGACCAAAAAAAAGGCACTTTGGGCAGAGTGAGCAGAAGGGGAACAGGACTGGTTTTTAAACCCGTTTACAGTTTTTTATGTGGAACCACAAATTCTCAAAGCTTGCAGCTGAACTTGTGTGAACTCTCAAATGCAAATCAGAGATACACCTTTTGAAAGGCAGGAAGAAAGAAAGAGAAAACGCATTGCATATCTGTATCACTAGCTAAGCAAACAATAGCACGTTATAGAAAAATTCCCCATCTTTTCTGCTAAAAAGTTACTGCTAAAAGTTTTTCTGATAAAAAGTGATGACATCATCACTAGCTGTGTTTTTGTAATACATTATAGATAAGTATGAATAAAGAATGTGTTTATAGGAAATATTTTTATAGATAAGTATGAATACTAAGAATGAACAATAAAAGAATGTGTTTATAGGAAATATTTTTATTTACATGTATATTAAAATTGCAATATTTACCCACAGATATAAAATTGTCTTATCACAATAGTGCTAGAGAAAATTGGTTCGTGATCATATAGGTGTGAAGTATTTTTCCCCAATGCGCTGGCCACAGTGTTTTGTCAAAAGAGTTGTTTCAATGTTTCTCATTTCCTCTGTCTTAGGAATTGTTATCCTAGAAAGGGAAAGAAAGAAACCGAAATTCCCATGGCAGGTTACCATAGTACCAAACAATTCTTTATTTAGGTCTGTATCTGATTGTCAAGCAAGATCTTTGAGTGTATAAATTACTCCCTGGGGATAAGTAAAGCTACAGAAAAACCACATCCACCATACTAGCTTTGAAAGGGCTTGAAAATGATCATCTGTCTGGATTTTTTTTTTAACTGTTGAGGATGGTTAGGTAATCCGGGAAATGCTTTAACTCTTTCAGCCTTTCAATAAAAACTATAATAGTTTACATAGTGCTTTTCAAATTGCATAGCATTTTCCTGCACATATTCATTTAGCATCACAATAATCATATAATGTAGATAAGAAAGAAATGTCTTTAATTTTATATATGAGAAAATAGCAGTTCTGATTAGTCAGGTCACACCTCCCAGGATTGGGAGCAGGGAACAGCTTGAATTCAGGGGCCTCTTGGACACATCTGTTCCAGTTAGATTCTTCCAGAAGCACACACTGAAAAGAAGTTAGGAATGCCAAAGTTTATGGGGGTAACACCTGTGAAAGAAAAGGGGCAGAAGCAGGATTGGGCAGGCTACTCCAACAGGGAGCTCCGGAGCAAAGATTGTTCCTTAAAGAAGTTCCCCCACTGAGTGGAAATGGTTAGGCCTTGCTCAGTGGTTGACTGGGGACCCCTCTGAGAAAAGCATAGGATGAAAACCTGAAGCTGTCTGAAGATGCAAACAGCTGGGGACTGTCAGCTAACCACCCTCCCTGGAGCTGAGGAGTGAGTCCTTTCTTGAAGGAGGATCTGATTGGCGCATCTCCACATCTGCCACAGTTTACCTTGTGTCCCGTGTGGCTCCACTTCATAGCACAGTTGTGGAGCAGCTCTTCTGGGGTTCTGGTGGGCCTCTCTTCCTGAGGGGAAACTTAAAAGAGGGAATTTAGAGAGATGAACTATAGCCCCCATGGCTACAGGTGGTCTCATAACCACAACTGATACTCATTGTCTCTCTCCTCCACTAACTGTTCGAAAGTCCCTCACTCTCTGCTGGCCTCAGTGGCTCACATGGTGGTGTTTCCCAAACCATCCTTCCTGAGGGGCCTGAATTCCTGGTAATCTTACCCGTGTCTAGGCTCCATTACTACATCACTACATTTGTCACAATTAGGCAAGAGCCTTCCAAGAGGCACCCAAGTGGGTCAACTGAGTTCCATGGACGTTCCTCCCTGCTCCCATCATGTAACAGCAGCTCTGCCTGCTCCTGCTGATCAAGGTCAATTACCCCTGACAGAAGTGGTTCCTCTTCTTGCCTCCTGGTTCCTGGCCGCACAGAGCCCGGAGTGTCCAAGTGGAGCTGTAGCTTATTGTTCAATGGGATTTTTGCCATCCTCTGCCAAAAACACACCCTTTCTGGGGACCAGGACCTCTAACCCTGCAGAATCCAGAGCTGTGGGGACCCCTAGTGAGTCACTGAAAGTGATGGTAAGTGAGGCCACTCCTGCTTCCCTCCCTTGGTTCCTGGATCCATGAGTTTTCCCTCTTGGAGACATAGTGCCATATAAAGTTCTGTAATTCAGCATGTATCCACATCCTTAAGGATGGTACTCGCATCCTTGCAGAGTGTGGCATTTGAGCTGGTGCTTCAGCTGTACCTTCAGCACACCATACCAACTGTATTTAGCCAGCAGCTTTTAAATGACACAGTCTATGACATGGCCAGTGGGTCTCTAAAATGGATTCCCTTGCTGGATACTAAGTTGTTTCGTGTCTGTAGATCAGGCATTCTGTAAGTGGCTTGATAGTGGTGCTAGCTGAGGCACTGCAGGCAGAAGGGCAAACCCATACTCAGATTAAGTATCTATTCCTGTGAGAAAAATCTTTGGCTCTTCTAGGATGAAAGGAGCTTTTGCTACCAAGTGACCGGTTAATCTCCTTAAGGAGTAGTGCCATCCATACTAGGGGCTCATTATTGCTGTCCGTTGCTGGCAGGTTGAACATTCAAAGCAGGCAATCATTAGATTGGCCTTTCTAAGTGGGAGTCTGTGTTTTTTTGATCCATGCAAAGCCTCCATCTCTGCCACTGTGGCCATGTCATCTGTTTACCTATCATGTCAGTGAATGACAACTGGTCAAGTTATTTTGCCCTCTTGGTTATTTGATGCCCATGCTATGTGGGTGCTTTTGGGTGGGCATTAATATACAATACAAAAATCTTCACACCTTGTGCCTACTCTCGTATGTTCATCTACATGTCTCTTCTCCAGACCTCTTTGTCCCAGGTATTCTAATTTTTCTCCTTCCAGCCCATGACCATTCACCATTGTCCATGAGTCCATGTACGTTTTGACTTTTGGCCACTTGTTTCACACAAAGTGGGTGACCAGCTGCACCTCCAGAAGCTCTGCCCGTTGGGAAGATCTGTCTTTCAAACAGTTCTCATTACTGTCTTTCAAAGCCAATCGTGAGTAAGGTTATAATGCAGACAGCATCCACTTTTGGTTTGAGTAAGGCTATAATGCAGACAACATCCACTTTTGGTTTTCACCCACATACCAAATCAACCCATCTGTAAACCAAGCTAGGAGTTTTTCTTCTTCCTTCAGCTGGTTGGATGGGAGGCCCATATGGTCTTCACTGTGAGCTGAGGAGGGACACTGCTACACAATGGAAGCCACGATGGGACATGATGGATGCCATGGGATTCTGGACCCACTGCTCATGCTTCTTGTAATGTGATCTCTTCCTGCTCATGCTCAGTCCCAGATGTACCATTTCCATCTTATGATGGATTGCTACTGGGCCTATCTTACTTTATGACTGTTCCCAACTCACGATGAGCAATTCCAGAGTCAGGATCACTTGGTATCCCAACGTCAAGCGTTCCAGCTCTATCAGGGCCCATTAGCATGCTAGGAGCTGTTTAACAAAAGATATTTAATCCTCTGCTGCATATGGTGTGACCTTGCTCCATCACCCCAGAAGCCTGGGTTGTGATTCTTACACTGGGCCTTGCCATAAACTTCACACCGTATCTTTTTCTACTACTGATATCTCAAATATCATAGAATGTGCTGAGATTTTTGTTCTTGCAGCCAGCACCTGCTGCAGAGCGATTCTCTCCCCTGAGCCCTACTCAAAGCTGGCACCTTCCATATGGGCTGGAGCAGTTTTCCTATGTGTGGAATGTGTTGCTTCCAAAGCCCAAGGTGGCTTAACAGTCATTGTGCTTCCTTCATTTTAGTAGTGGATACGTGATGCAGCAATCTGTCCTTTACTTTGAAGGGAATGTCCTGGCATGTACCTGACCATGGGCTGTAGAGAAACTTTACTGAGTTGCCAATTACTTGAATTTTCTGGAGTTCATCTCCCTCCTTCTGGAGTGCATGTGTCTTACCAAGGTCTCTAGCGTGCCAGCACTCTTACTCATGTTGCCAGATCAGCACGATGTCATCATTGTAATGAATCAATACCATGTTCTGCAGTATGTCCAGATGGTCCAGATGTCTTCAAGCTAAAATGTTACAGATGGCAGAAGAGTTAATATGGCCCTGGAGCAAACTGTTTCTGATCTGCTTTCCTGGCTGGGATAGAAAAGTACACATTCACCAAATCAATGGCTGCATATTACATACCAGAGACCATATTATGTGCTCTAGCAAAGAAACTATGTCTGGCTAGGCAGCCGCGACCTAGCTGTGGCTAGGTGATTTCTTGGTTAAGCTAGCAATAGTCTGCAGGATCTATCTGGCTTCTGCAAGGACCAGACCAGCAAAGTGAACAGAGATGTTCTGGGGCCACCATGCCTGCCTCTTTAAGAGTGGCACTAATCCCGGCCATCCCTCTCCAGGGTTGTACTGTTTTCGATGCACTATTTTGTTGGAGGAGGCAGTTTCAGAGGCTTCCACTTGACGTTCCCCACTATGACGGCTCTCACCAATAGGCCCAGTGTGTGGGTTACTTCACCTGCCACATGTCAGTCCCAAGTATATATTCGGTGACCAGGGAAATGAGTACCAGGTGAGTTCACAGACCCAGTAGACCCAGATTTTGGTCAAGACTCCATTTATCACTTGGCCTTTGTATGCCCCCCCCCCCACTCTCACACAGAGCCCATGATGAAGTTTCTGGTTTTGGGGTATCAATGTCAACTTGGAGCCTGTCTTCAACAGTCCTTGAAATGTCTGAGTATTTCCCTTTTCCCCGGTGAACAGTCACTCAAGTACATGGCTTAGATCCATTTGGAGAAGCACTGATGAAATCATTATTTTTCCAGGGTCCTTCACACTGGCATTTAGTCATCTCTTCAGTCAACGGGCACCAGGTCTGAAAATTGAAAACTGGTTCAGGTCCAGAAACTGGGCAAGAGAGTTTTTTGGGGTAACTTCCCTCAAGCTTCCACTCATCCACTCTTGCTCTGTTTTGATTGTATATATTAAGCAGTGCCTTTTGGCTGCTCGGCTATTTTTCCCTTAAGGATGCAGTGTTCTATTAAACATCCCTTAACTGTGGACACCGTGACCTCCGGCTTCTGTTGGTAAAATGCTACCACTGGCCTCTTGCTCCAGGGCCTTCTCATCACCTTTGCTATCAGTGAGTCAGATTCTGTTGACCGCTTCTCCTGCCTTTAGCCCTGGCCTGCAGAGGAGAGCCACACTGAACTTCACAGGGGGCTGGGGCCCCTCTCTCCAGCACATTTCTAATGCCCTTGGTGAACGGCGCATCCTTTCGGCCTCCCTGGGAAACACGTGTCTCTGGCCTCATGTAACATCCATTCTGACATTCCCACTTCCCCGAGTCTTACTCTCTTCCTCTTCTGTACCACGGCAATTCAAGCTTTTCAATTCAGGCTGTCTGAGGGCTGTTGTTTTTTCCAGATTTCTAAGAGTCATCCTAGCCGCAAGTTTTCAACATCCCCTAGGATCCTAGCTTGGATGTTAAATTCTCTTGTTTCTAGAGAGTGACCTCCAAGTCAATAAATAATGTTCTCACTCACAGCTTTTCATTATCAGTCTGTAGGGTGACAATGCAACTTCATAACAACACTCCAATTCCATTATCCTTATGCTTATCATTCCTCTTACATTTCAAATCCCTAAATCATTGCACCAGCCAGAGCATTCCTCTCCACTGGTGCATTGTCCTAACTCACCACCAGTGAAAATTTTAGAAACAGGACTCTGACCTTTTGCCAGGGGCTCTCTGCGCTCTACCCATCACTCAGAATTGGGTGCCTGTTGCTAGCCAGGTGGTGAGTGATCCAGTCGCTCAATCCCATCTTACTGCCTGCTTTCTCAGACTATTTCTGGTACCAACTGTGCCACCAGGGCTCTCTGGGAGGCAGACACAGAGAGGGAGTGAGGAGAGTAAAAGGTTTATGGAAAGGAGCACCTATGAAAGAAAAAGGGAGGAGGCAGTATGGGCAGAGGAGCATCAGCCTGGAATCTCTGCCAGCCCGATGGGGAACTGGAAGCAGTGACTGTTGGGGGAGGTGTACGTTGGGTAGAAGTGACAAGGCCCTGGTACCACGGCTTTGCTCAGTCATCAGGTAGGAGCCAGCCAAGAAGAATGTGATCTTGGTTACCATTGTCACAGTCGATCATAGGCGGGGGGCCACCTTGACAAGTGTCTGACCTAGGCTCAAAAGCTGAGGTGAATTCTGAAGGTGCTATTGGCTGAGGGTGTCAGCTCAGCCCACTCTTTGCAGCTAGGTAGCAAGGACTTTCTTGAAGGGGGATCTGAGTAGTGTATGTTCATGACTACTCTTTTTAGTATTTCACATTACATCACTTATGGCCAAGTATCCTTGTTTCACAACTCTCAAGTGGTGAGAGTGAGGAAAAAGGAAGAAACAAGGCAGGGAAAGATGTGAAGCTCTGCAAAGTGACGCCTGACTGCACTGGCCCCACATTCTCCCTCAGCAAGAGGGGCTTCTCCAGAAGGGAGGCAAGAAAACACCGTGCTCAGTGAAGTCACAGGAATGGGGAAAGTAGGGGGAATGTGTCTGCCCAGGTCCTTCCCGTGTCTCATTTCCCAAAAGTCAAGTTTCACCGCAAGGGGAGCTCACATTTCCAGGCCGCATCATTCAGCCCTTCAGGAAGCCAGTCTGGACCCTGCACTGTGGTGTTTCAACCAAGCCTGGAAACGGAGGGCGACTTGGCACTGATATTTCAACCACCACCAACAGACAGGAGCAAGCCACACAGCTCTGCAAAGGCAGCAGTGGTAGGTGGGCTGGGATACAGGCAGTGTCTTCAGAAAGAAAGGCAGAGGGGCCGGCCCAGTGGCACAGTGGTTAAGTTCGCGTGTTCCGCTTTGGTGGCCCAGGGTTTACCGGTTTGGATCCCAGGTACAGACATGGCACCACTTGGTGAGCCATGCTGTGGCAGGCGCCCCACATATAAAGTAGAGGAAGATGGGCACGGATGTTAGCTCAGGGCCAGTCTTCCTCAGCAAAAAGAGGAGGATTGGCAGCAGATGTTAGCTCGGGGGTAATCTTCCCCAAAAAACCCCCCAAAAAAGAACAAAAAAAAAGAAAGAAAGGTGGGTGAGGAGAGCTGAGAAGGTACACAAAGTTTAGTCTGATAAAAATCTAGTGTTTGACAGTGCCTAAGTAGCATGCTTAATTAAGGACTTCAATATTTCTTTAAAACTTAAAAAAACTTTCTTAAGTGTTATTGTAACAGCAACATGTGTTTATTGTAGATAAACTTGAAACTGGAGATAAACTGAAACAAAAAACTTTAAATACTACCTGGAGATACCATTTTTATATCTTTTTCTATGCTTATTTACAAAAACAAGATCCACTATAAATACTGTTTTGAAAACTATCTTTTTAACCTAATAATGTGTCTTGAAGATGTTAATAAATATACATCTAATACCATTTTTAAAGAATCTTTATATCCTAAATCTTTGAGCACACACTTCATTATTTCTCTTTTCATTTTAATGTCCTATCTAGGGAATCCTTGGAAGCTCATACACTTAACCACTGTTACTTAAGATTCTCCAAGAAGCAGATACAAGATGGGATTAGATGTGCAAGAGATTTTAGGGGGAAAAACTAATGAGGGAAAATGAGGAGGAAGCCAGAGCAAGAGGAAGTGCTGGCAGATTGTGAAGGAGAGGGCGAAGAAAGGAGTCTCAATGGAAAGCATGTTAGAGTGCACGCAGTCTAAGAAAGTTTTTGCTAGGCCACTGGGGAGTCCTCCAGCCAGTGTTACCTGTCGGAGCAGTTTCGTGTCTCACAGCACGGGCTTGCCTGTCTCCCTGGCCCCACTCAGTCACTGGCCCAGAGCAGCCTGTGGGAAGTGTAGTGATTCATAATGCGGCAGCCCTGGCGTCAGCGTTATGCTCAGCAATCTGGGAGGCACATTCTCATGGCTTCCACAAACACCATCTGTGCTTTAAAAAAAACTTGGTGCTATTCATTCATTGATTCATGACACATCGAGGGCACAAATATGAATACAATGTGGTGCTCACACTCTAGTAATTGGCTTCAGTTTGAGTGGATCATCACGAATAGTTTTTCAGAAATTAGAAACAGAAATAGATTTCCAGAACCTCCTGAGGCAGATCTTCAGGGCGTGGCTTCATTATTTTGTTTGAAATGATTTTTCAGATTCTGAAGTAAATTCTAAGTTAAATACTGAATGGGGTTTGGGTTCTTCCTTGTTCGGTAGCACTCATTCCTGTATTCATTTTACCTGACGCAGAAAATCGGGATGAGTTTAACTGAATAAGTTAAAATCTAGAATGTGAAATAGTAACTGCATTTCTAAAAAATGTTTTTTGAGAGAGGGAAAAATGTACACATCCCCAAGTACACATTTTTCCCATCCACGTATCCCTTATTTTATATATATGGTTTGTATTCGTTTTCTAGGGCTGCTGTAACAGATTACCACAAACTTCATGACTTACAACAACACAAATTTATTATCTTATGGTTCTGAAGATCAGAAGTCTGAAATGAGTCTCACTGGACTGAAGTCAAGGTGTCCACAGAACTGTGTCCCTTCTGAACACTCTAGGGGAAAATCCATTTCCCTGCCTTCTCCAGTTTCTAGAAGGTACCCACATTCATAAGTGGGTAGCCGTCTTCCTCTGTCTTCTCAGCCAGCAGTAGTGGGTCGAATTCTTCTCACAGCACATCACATTTCTTCTTAGAGACAGATCTTGCTTCTATTGTGTCGTATCAATTTCTTTAACTCTTCTAGCTTCTTCTTCCACTTTGAAGGACCCTCGTGATTACGTTGGGCCCACTAGGATCAGCCAGGATAATCTTATTTTTAGGTCCACTGATTAGCAACCTTTATGCTGTCTGCAGCCTTAGTTACCCTTTGCCATGTACCCTCACACGTTCACAGGTTTCAGAGACGAGCACAGGGACATCTTTGGGGAAGCATTATTCCACCTACCACAGGTCTTCTAGCTGAGGTCTCCAAAACAGTATTGATTAGAAACAGTTCTGGTGTTTATCAGTCTTCTTCTGGACGTTCATGGGAATGATTCTAAAGATTAATCATCCTTAGGATACTTTTCATAGTTTTTGGTAGCTATACGTTATCATATTAAGGAAGTTATCTTCTATTCCTGTGGTCCTCTTGTATGTTACTCTGTAATAACCACCCCAAAACTTAATGATTTAGAACAACACTTTATTATTATGTCTCTGTGGTTTAACTGGGCTTAGTTGGGTGGTTCTTACTTGGGGCTTGATGAGGTTGGATGTCCAATATAATTACTTCACTCATGTGTCTGGGGCTTCTGTGCTCCTCCGTGTGACCCCCCCCCACACACACACACAGTAGTTTGTAGCATGTATCAAGATAATCACATTTTTCTTCTTTAATCTGTTAATGTTGGCAGAGTTTAATGTACTGGTTGTTTACTAAGATATGCCCTTGGGATCAAGACCTGTGGAAGGAAGAGGAGGAGGCAGTTGTGGGGAGAGGGAGGCACAAGTTGCAGTGGGGGCCCAACATCCCTGACTCCATGGGGAGCTCTGTAGCTGAGTTGCTCTCACAGTGGGCCAGGTGTTTATGCATTCACCCAGTCATTGGATGGCAGGTGTCCCTGGAAGGGTATGACCTTGGATGAAGCTGAAGCAACTCCCTAAAGGGGCTGAAGGCTGAATGAAGGTTGTACACTGACAGCACTCTCAGCAGCTGAGGCAACAAGCCCTTCCCTGGGGGAAGATCTGGACCATGCCTCGCCATGTCTCTGCCACAAGGTTCGTAGTAGTAGTGTTTATAATAGTAAAAACTGGGAACAACCTAAATCTCCATTACATAGTAATCAGTGAACAAGTAGTATAGTCATATGATCAAAAAATGTACAGCAATGAAAATGAATGAACTAACACTATGTTTGTCAAGAACTAGTTACCATCTATCAGCATGGTTCAATCTCAGAAACATGATGTTAAGTGGAAAAGCACCTACAGAAAAAAGCATGTATGTCATATCTATACAATTTAAGAGCATTCAAAACACGAGTACATATTGTTTATGGATCACAAACATATAGGAAAAGTATTAAAATATTCATGGGAATTACAACCGCTAAATTCTTCATAGTGTCTAGGAAGGGAAGGTGGGGACTAGGATCAGAGAAAGGGGTGCAGGGTGCTACAAATGCATCTGTAAATTTTGTGGGGGGGTTTTGTATGCTTTTCGGTGAGGAAGATTAGCCCTGAGCTCACATCTGTTGCCAGTCTTCTTTTTTTTTTCCTCCCCAAAGCCCCAGTACATAGTTGTATATTCTAGTTGTAGGTCATTCTAGTTCTTCTATATGGGATGCTGCCACAGCATGGCTTGATGAGCAGTGTGTAGGTCTGCACCCAGGATCCGAATTGGCAAACTCTGGGCCGCAGAAGCAGAACGTGCGAACTTGACTGCTTGGCTGTGGGGCTGGCCCCTCAATTTTGTTTCTTTAAAAAATGTCTGAATTAATATGGTGTTATAGCATAGTGCTAATATATGATGAAATTTGGTCTCAAGTACATGAGTGTTTATTATATGACTTTATTTTTTCCTGTATTTTAAAAATATTTCATAATAGAATTGATAATTTCTTTAAAATACCATGCAGTCATTAAAACAAAATTAATTACACATATTAACATGGATATATTTCAAAAGTGATGTTAGGTGAAAAAAGTTGCAGTGGGGTATATACAGTGTGATGCCATTTCAATTTTTAAATAAGGAAATGACATTCTATATTATTTATAGCTTTATACTTATGTGGTAGAAATATTTTAAAATGTAAGATCCAAATAGTTTCTCCTTTGAGGAGAGAGGGAGATGAATGGGACTGGGGAGAGAGACAAGAGAATTTCCAGATATTCACATTGGCTAAATCTGGGTGTTGAGTTCATGGGTGTTTATTATATTACTCTCTGTGCTTTGTGGTATGTTTGAGATAGTTGATAGTCTTAAAGAGATTAAATATTCCATTCTGATTGGTCTTTCCCTCTGTTTATAATGAAAGCAACCACATAAGTACATGCCATCGCTTGGTTGGCATGGAAAGGAAAGGAAAAGAATGTCTTCTATCAATCTGCAAGTGCCAATTTTTCTAGTATATCCTTTGCTGCACCCACTTTTTCCAAAACACTGACTTGATGTCACTGATTAAAAACTACATGCTCATGTGCCCACTTATTTATTTTTTTTAAGATTTTATTTTTCCTTTTTTCTCCCAAAGCCCCCCGGTACATAGTTGTGTATTTTTAGTTGTGGGTCCTTCTAGTTGTGGCATGTGGGACGCCGCCTCAGCGTGGCTTGATAAGCGGTGCCGTGTCCGCGCCCAGGATCCAAACCAACAAAACCCTGGGCCGCTGAAGCGGAGCGTATGAACTTAGCCACTCGGCCACGGGGCCAGCCCCATGCCCACTTATTTTTGTGGGTGTTAAACTGCGTTGCTGCCGTGGGAGAACGTTGGAGTGCTCAGGCACAGGAAGTTAAAGGATTACGCACAGCGGTTAATTCTGCTGCAGGCAAGTCCTAGATTCTACCCTCTCCTCCTCCCCATGAAAAAATCCAGATTTTAAATGATTTTCTGGAGAAAGTATATTAAGCTGTAACTATTTCCATGCCTCCATACTATTCTCTGATCTTCCTTAGTTCACATGTCTCTGTTTTGCATAGTTGCCAGCCCTACACGGGGATTTTGTTGTTGTCTTTTTATTTAACCGCAGCTAACATTTCTGTGTACCACCTCGTCCACACACTGGTCACTGTTCCATAGTTTTCCGTCTTGATACTGCACCACAGTTTACTTCGCCTGACCACTATTGTTGAACTTTTGAGATTTTTCCAGCTCTCCAGTTATTATAAATAGCATTTCTATGACCATCTTTGTACAAACTACTTCTTTTCTTTCTGGTCATTTCCTTGAGGGTATAATCCTCAAGTGGAATTAGGCCAAAGGGCATGAATAGTTTTGTGATTCTAAGTTCATATTCCAATCTTATATTGATTTACCTTAACCCAACAATATTGGGTTTACACATTTTAATATAATTTTTAAAATTTAGTAGATATATAATGATTGTTAAAAGTTAGTTAAAAATTCCCTCAGATGCTTTCTTTGTTTTTTAAAGATTGGCACCTGGGCTAACATCTGTTGCCAATCTTCCTTTTTTTTCTTTCCTTCTCTCCCAAGTTCCTCAGTACATAGTTGTATGTGCTTCTGGTTGTGCTGTGTGGGATGCCACCTCAGCATGGCCTGATGAGCGGTGCCATGTCCACACCCAGGATCCGAACCAGCGAGACCCCAGGCCGCCGAAGCAGAGTGTGCGAACTTAACCACTCAGCCATGGAGCTGGCCCCCTTTTTTTTTTTTTTTTTATTTGTCTAATTGTTAAAAGTAATACTCTTTCACCAGGGGAAGAAGAATCAAGCAACTGAAAGTGCCCCCTAAACCTCCAGCCCCAAAGGCTTCCATGTTCCAATTTGACTTACATTCTTTCAGGTTATTTTATATGCATGCACTAGTTTCATTCTTGAGACTTGAGGCAACATGTGGAAGTTCTTTAGAAACCCACCCAATCCGTGCATCCTGTGTGTTTGGTACTTCTCGCTCTTGACCTTGCTGTTCTGTTCTTTATTCCCTTTCTCTCCAAATCTGCAGCCCGACTTTCTTCACCAGCTCTTTTTCCTGAAACTTCCAATATAACCCAATCTTCCAAAACCTTTATTTGCTGCCCTTGGACCTTTCAGCAACGGGCTTACTTTTTATTTTTTTTTAGTGTGTTGGATTTCTTTTTAGGCTTACTTTTATTCTTCACAACCTGTGGTTCTGAGCCTCAGCAGCATCTCAGAGGACTATCCTCGACCTCACCCCAAATTATTTAAATCAGGATGTTAAAGGGTGGAAACTAGGAATCTGCATTTTGAAAAATGTCCCAGGTGATTCTAAAATGTAGGCAAGGTTGAAAACCACTGTGTTACTCTCATTTCTGGAATGATTGCTCTATACCTGTGTGTTTTACTTTTTCGCTAATCACTTCTCCTTGATTACCTATAAACTGGACTCTGAGTCTTCTGCTTTACTGAAAACACTAACTTCCTTTTGAGCAAATCAACACCATTCAGTGCTGAGACTAGGGAGAGGTCTAGGCATTGACTCCTCTTCCTCGGTCTGGTATACTTCTCGTGTTACTTGACAAGTTTCACATTTGTTTGTTTCAGAGTTTCATGTTTGCTAATGTGTGTTAGCTATTGCTGCATTGCAAACTACCCTGAAACTTAGTGGCTTAAAACAACAAAAACCATTTCTTTGTTCCAGTTCAGCAATGTGGGCGGGGCTGGGTGGGGACTTTGCTCCATGTGGTGTTGGCTGGAATAGTTTGACTGGGCCTGGAGGATCCAAGATGCTTGACTCACATGTCTGGTGCCTCCGCTGCCTTTTTTTCTCCAACAGAGAGGTTGGGCTTTTGTACACAGTGGCTCAGGGCCCTCAAGAGAGCAAAACCCAAAGCTGCCAGGTTTCTTAGGGCCCAGGCCTGTGATGGGCAGGGTGCCACTTTCCGCACTCTACTGGTCAGAGCAAGTCACAGGCCGGCCAGATTCAAGGAGAGAGGAAATAGTCTCGCTACACCCTGGGTGGAAAGGAGCAGTGTGTGTGCACAGGATGGGAAATTTCAAGCAGGGGAAATATGCCAGGCATGTGATATACAAATAGTACTGGTTGGAATCATTGAGTGAAGGAACAAACAAATGAACGAATGAATAGAATAATAAAAAAAAAAGAAAGTATTTTTACATATACAGACAGTATGTAGACAGTAAAATGCTTAAATCTTTTATATAAAGGGAATGTATTTAATGGTAGAGACTGACTGTATTCAATTTTGCACCAAAAGAGAGGCTGAAGGAAGAGATAGGTATTCTCCATCTAGACAGATTGTGTCAGGCCAGGCCAGAGTGTGTAAGACCAGGGACGTCTAGCTAGACTGGGAGCAAGTATCCATAGGAGGTGCCTATGGCAGGCAGGACAGAGGTCAGTTCTGGGAGTGTGGAGCAAGAGCAGGAAATGAGAAATGAGGGAGGTTCTGCAGGTCAAGGCAGCAAGTCCAGATCAGCAAGGTCAGACTCCAGACCAGAAACCCAGGACAGGAAAATGAGACAAAAAGCGCCCCAAGCCAGTAGGAGACAAGATGCTGGACATCAGCATCAAGCACGGTATACAGTATACCCTGGGTATACTGGTCAGCTAGCCTGGTGCTGGGCCAATCCTGGAGCCTGGGTCTGCGGTAGCTGGTCTGAAGTCTAGGTCCTCAGGGGCCAGCCTGGCGCTAGTTGGTCAGGACCTCTTCTCCTTTTCCTTACTGGGTCATCTGTTCTCCATCTGGATTTGCAGAAAGAAGCAGCTCTTGGTATGAGCTGATATTAATCATTTTTGTCAGAATTACTCAAAATGTAGTGTGGTAGCCGGCCTCCATGATGGCCACCAATGATCCCCACCTCCTGGTGTTCACACTCTTGTCTAGTCCCCTCTCACCTTGTATGAGGACTGGTCTATGTGACTCATAGAGTATGACAAAAGTAACAGTATGTCACTTCCGAAACTAGGTTGTTAAAGACCGAGAGTTCCATCTTGGTTCCATCTTTCTCTCTCTCTCATCTCTATCTCTCCCTCTATCTCTGGTCGCTCATTCTGGGGGAAGTATGTTGTCAGGTTGTGAGCAGTCCTGTGGAGAGGCCCACATGGCGGGGAACTGAA